TTTTTTTTTTTTTTTTGGTCTGTTGGTTTAAGAACCACAAATACTAAAAAGCTACAATAAATATGACACCTTTTTAACTGTGAGCCACTTTCAACAAAACTAATCTAACCTAATACTACAATTGCACACCACTTCTTTACATTAAATGATAAAAAAATCGAGAAAATAAAATCTGATTATCTTGTAGAACCAGCAGCATCTCTTTCTCCCTATCGTTGAAGCCACTTCTGCTAAGTGTTTGATTTGCAATATAGTTTTTATTTAAATATCTTTTTAAACAACAGGTATTGAAATTCGGCACAATTTGACCTTTTGAAGTTTAAAAGCTTTGGATATTTTGAAATCTGCAGGAGTCTCAAGTGACCACAGGATATTGAAAAAGTTTCTCATGTTCGTGAGCTCAGTTTCAATGCACGCAACAAACACTTGGAGTAATGCACTTTAATATTTCTCAGTTTATGGTCCATACGGTTTGTGTTTTGTTGAATAATCAGACTCAAAGGGACAGCAGTGCGGACCATTGGTATGAGATTGATTTACTGTCATAAATCACAAGTTTTTTTTGTGGGATATTCAGGCCATTTTGAATTAGCATTATAAGGAAAAGTTTTGAAAATTCCCATCTCTCTTTTGTAGATAGCTCTTTGAACAACTTCAATTCAGAGAAAGACAAGAGCTAATAGCTAGTCTAAATGCAACTAATACTAAAGTGAAAGACTATGATCTAAAAAAAGGGGAAAATACATAATGGTTCGTGTATCGGTTGTTTCATAGACCTTTGACTCATTATTAGTTTTGTATGGATATTTGAAATAAAATTCTTCTGGGGTTATTTGGAAACGTAGAAAGAGGCAGAAGCTAGCTGTAGCACCTCTGACAGTGATATATTTAATTGAAATTAAACATATTTTAAAAAATGCATATTTCAATCTAATCAACAAAAATCAACACTTGAAAAAAATTAGTATATATAGTATTTTTATTTTTTAAGTCATAAGAATGATCCATTCATTTTCAATGTTGCAGCCAGCCAGTAGGGGGCGCTCATCATCCCGTCTTAGAATATGGCTGTATCTCAATTTATGGGCTGCATCCCCATAAGTGCGCATTTGTCGGCCGCATAAGTCAACGCCCCACACTGAGTGCTGTCCCAATTTGAACGCTCCTCCTCACGAGGCAGAGAAATGTGGCTCACAAAATTTCAAAAATCAAGGATGCATGCGAGTATACGTATATACATACATATATAGTATACATATTTAGGTGGATTAGCAGTGCTTGTCAACAACAGATGGTGTCATCCAAGACATGTTACTGTGAAGTTTCGTCACTGCAGTCCAGACATTGAACTCTTGGCAGTAAGTTTTCGCCCATATTATTTACCAAGAGAGTTCACCAGTGTTATTTTGACAGCTGTTTACATTCCACCTTCAGCTGTTGCTGACAATGCATGTGATATGTCAGTTCCGTTGTTGCTAAGATATAGAAACAACACCCCAATGCATTTGTGGCAATATCTGGTGATTTTAATCATGCCTCACTCTCTGCTACACTGCCAACATTTCAACAGTTA